GTTTTGAAAAGGATGATGGTAACGTATGTACAAATGTGTCTGACACAATGGATGTATGGATTGTTATAAGAGCTGTATGTGTCCCCAATAAAATGATTTTTAAAAAGAGGATGGGTATTCAAAGGTATTAAAGTATAATCTAGAAATAACAATACAATTCTGAGGAAAGACATTTATCCTGGTACATTAAAATATCAGCTTGCACAGATGGAGAGGATGAGGGTGAAGAGTATTAACCTGTCGCAGGATACACTCTGTTGTCCTGGGACTTAAATATCTGTTGTCCTGTAAAACTGTCCTGTGACTCCTAACTGTCAATAAAAGTGTTTTCTTTTTAAATTAAAAAAAAATTATTTATATATATATATATATAAACTTGCAATATAAGGTTAACATAATTAACTATTGAGGCCCATGAACAATCTGGGGCCTCAGTGAATTATTTTTAAAAAATATCACTTATGTTGTTATCATTATATTCAACAATAACAATTTTATATTGAGTTTTCAACAATTCAATAGTTTCTATATGTATAATTTAGTGGCATTGATTACACTGACTTGGACAATCATTCTTACTCTTCTTTTTGAATTGTCTCTTTTATTAACATAATCTCACTGTCCCAAAAAATTCCTTTTTAAAACTTTTGATTGATTCCATGTAGATTGCACTTTCAAAAGCATAATCCTCCAATTTGACTTTTTTTTTTTAATTATTGAAGCTAACTTTGCTTGGCTTTAAGGAGATTTCTGGGGATATTTTGTTTTAAAGTTTAAATATCATTTTAAGGGCAGTAGATTCAGGAGCTTATCCAGTCTTTATGGCTCCCGAAATTCTGGAATCCATAAGAATTTTAAGTTCTGTTGTACATTCCCTCACTCTTGTCCAGGACAGAGTCTTTCACTAAAATGTTCAGTAATGATAGCCAGGTACCATCCAGTTGTTCTGGTTGCAAAGCAAAAGAAGAAGCTGTTCATAGAGCTACATATTCCATTTTCTCCTCCTATTCTTTCTCACTTTGGTGTTCCCGACAAATGTTGTTGCTCTTAGGTGCTATCGAAACAGTTACAACCCATAGACAGCAACCCTATGTACCAGAGAACAAAATACTGCACAGTCCTGTGCAATCTTTACAATTGTTCCTATGTCTGGGCCCATTGTTGCAGCCAGTGTCAATCCATCTCGTAAAGGGCCTTCCTCTTTTGCTGCCCCTCCACTTTACCAAGTATGATGTCCTCCAGGGCTGATCTCCCTGAAAATATGTCCAAGGTAGTAAGATGCAGTCTTGTCATTCTAGTCTCTAATGAGCACGCTGGTCATATACTTCTTCCAAGACAGATCAGTTTGTCCTTTTAGCAATCTATGGTACTTTCAATATTTTTCTCCAGGATCACAATTCAAACACATCAATTCTTCTTTGGTATTCCTTATTTAATGTCCAACTTTCACATGCATATGAAGCAATGGAAAATACCATGGTCAGGTGCACCTTCATCATCAGAGTAACATCCTTGCTTTTCTTTTCTTTTTTTTTTTTTTAAACATTTTATTAGGGGCTCATACAACTGTTATCCCAATCCATACACACATCAATTGTGTAAAGCGTATTTGTACATCATTTCTCAAACATCCTTGCTTTTCAATACTCTAAAGAGATCTTGTGCAGCAGATTTAGCCAATGAAGTGTTACTGTTGGATCTGTCGACCGCTGCTTCCATGAGCATCGATTGCCCTTCCAAGTAAGATGAAATCCTTGACAACTTCGCTCATTTCTCTATTGATCAGGCTGTTACATATTGGTCCAGTTGTGAAGATTTGGTGTTCTTTACATGGAGTTGTAATCCGCATTGAAAGCTGCAATCCTTGATCTTCACCCACAAGTGCTTCAACTTTCCTCACATTCAGCAAAGTTGTGTCATCTGCATACTGCAGGATGAGACTTCCTCTGATCCTGATGCCACACTCTTATTCATATAATCCAGCTTCTCTGATTATTTGTTCAGCAAACAGATTAAATAAATATGATTAGAGGATACAACCCTGAGGGACACGTTTCCTGATTTAAAACATTGTTCTGTTCTCACAACTGCCATGTCAAAGATCCATGTACATGTTCTGCAGGAGCACAATGAAGTGTTCTGGAAATCCCATTTTCCCAAGGTTTATTATGGTACACACAGTTGAATGCTTTATCAATAAAACACAAGTAAACCTTTTCTAGTATTCTCCGTTTCAACCAAGATCCATCTGACATCAACAATGATGCATGTTGTTCCATGTCCTCTTCTGAATATGGCTTGACCCTCTGGTAGCTAGCTCCCTGTCAATGTACTGCTGCAACTGTTGCTGGCTGATCTTCAGTAAAAATTTACTTACATATGATACCAATGATATTGTTCTACAATTTGAGCTTTCTGTTGAGTCATCTTTCTTTGGACTAAGTACAAATATGGATCTTTTTTAGTCAATAGTCAAGTAGCTGTCTTCTACATTTCCTAACATAGAGAAGTAAGTGCTTCCAGGGCTTCATCAACCTGTTGAAACATTTCAATTGGTATTCCATCAATTCCTGGACCCGTGTTTTTGGCTAATGCCTTCAGTGCAGTTTGAACTTCTTCCTTCAATACCACTGGTTCTTGCTCATATGCTACCTCCTGAAATGGTTGAATGTTGATTTGTTCTTTTTGGTACAATGACTCTGTATTCTTCCCATCTTCTTCTTTTTTTCCTCTTTCTTTCCATCTTCTTTCAATGCTTCCTGCATCATTCAACATTTTGCTCATAGAAGCTTTCAATATTGTAACTGGAGGTTTGAAATTTTTTTGTATTCCTTTCAGCTTAAGAACTGCTGAGTGTGTTTTTTCCTTTTGGTTTTCTAACTCTGGGAGAGGGGAGGTAGGGGAGAGGAAAGGGGAGCCAACAAACCCAGGTGCAAAATGTAACTGAGAGGAATTACCAAACCTGAATGAAGATTGAACATGATAGTGGGGCAGGAGGAAAGTAAAACGAAACAGAGGAAAGAACTAGGAAGCAACTAACAACTAACTAACTCTAAGTCTTTGTACATTTCATTACAATATTTGACCTTGACTTCTTGAGCTATCCTTTGAAATTTTCTATTCACTTCTTTGACTTTATCAAAGAGCTCGGCATTACCATTTTTTTCTAAGGCTTTCCATAGTTTAGTGTGGTTCACCCAGTTGAATACCTTTGCACAGTCAATTAAACATAAGTAAATGTCCTTCTGGTATTCTCTGCTTTGAGCCAAGGTCCATATGACACAGCAATGATATCCCTTATTCTATGTTCTCTTCGGAATTCCTGGAAGTTGTCAATGTATTGGGGCAGCCATTGTTGGATGGTCTTCAATAAATTTTATTTGAATATGATATTAATGATATTGTTCTATAATTTGTGCATTCTGTTGGATCAGCTTTCTTTGGAATGGGCACAGATATAGATCTCTTCCAGTCAATTGTCTAGGTTGCTTCTTCTAAATTTCTTGGCACAGATGAGTGAGCGCTTCTAATGCTTCATCACCTTGTTGAAACATTTCAATTAGTATTTATCAATTCATGGACCCTTGTTTCTGGATAATGCTTTCAGCAGCTTGAAATTCCTCTTTCAGTACTATTGGTTTTTTTTATCATATGCTACCTCCTAAAGTGTTTGAATGTCAACTCTGTGAATTCTTTCCATCTTCTTTTGATACTTCATGCGTTGTTCAATATTTTGGCCATAGACTTTCTTTTTGGTTTCCTTACTTTAGGTCTTTTTTTACCCTCCGAAATGTTCCGTTCAGCTCTTTTACTTCATTATTTCTTCCATTTGCCTTAACTGTTCTATGTTAAAGAGCAAGTTTCAGGGTCTCTTCTGACACGCCCTTTAATATTTTCTTTCTTTCTTGTCTTTGTAATGATTTTTTTTTTCTTTCTTCATGTATAATGTTCCTGATGTCATCCCATTACAACCCATCAGGTCTCTGTCATTGGTTTTCAATGTATAAAGCCTGTTTTTTAGATGCTCTGGAGATTTAGGTGAGATACACTCAAGGTCCTATTTTTGGCTCTAGTGGATTTATTTTAATTTTTTTCAGCTTCAATTTGAAATTACATATGAGCAATTGATGGTCTAGACGTTCCACACTCAGCCTTCAGCCTCATTGTAGCTGCTGATATTGAGCTTCTCCATCATCTCTTCCCAAGTAGTCAATTTGATTTCTGTAGCCCCCACCTGGAGAAATCTTTTGTGTGGTTGAAAAAAGATATTTGCAATGAACAAGTCTTTGGTCTTTAGAAATTCCATCATGAGATCGCCAGCTTCATTTCTATCACCAAGATCATGTTTTCCAGCCACCGTTCCTTCCTCTGTTTCCAACTTCTGTATTCCAATTGGCATTAATTATCAATGCAGCTTGATTGCATGTTTAATCAATTTTAGACTGAAGATGCTGATAAGATTCTTAAATTTCTGTATCACTAACTTCAGTGGTTGGTATATAAATCTGATTAACTGGAATAGTATTAACTGGATTTCCTTATATTCAGATGGATATTATTCTATCAAAGACATTGTATTTCAAGATAGATCTTGAAATGTCCTTGAATTTGTCATTTCTGGCAGAGTAAATTGTAGGATTTTCCTGATTCAAAATGGCCAATTCCAGTACATTTTAGCTCATTAGTGCCTAAGATATTGATCTTTATATGTTCTATTTAATTTTTGACAACTTCTAATTTTCCTAGACTCATACTTTGTATATTCAAAGTTCCCATTATAATAATGTGTTTGCAGTTCTTTCTTCTCATTTTGAGTCATGTCTCACCAGCAAATGAAAGTCCCAAAGGCTCTACTCAGGAAAATATTCCTGCACCCACTCATTATGGTCAACTCTATTTTGAAAAGCCAGGTCCTCCTCAGTCACAGGTTGAGTACCTTCAGCTCTGAAAGGCTCCTCTTCTGAAAGGCTTCTGGCACTCTCTCTGACATTGCTCCACTGCTATTCATGAGGTTTTCAGTATCTGATAATGTTCCACTGCTCTCCATAACGTTTCCAATGGCTAATTCCTCTGAAGTGGACAGCCTAGTCCTTCTTTGTAGTCTTAGTCTGGAAACTCCACTGAAACCTGCTCACTTTGAGTGATCCTGCTGGTATTTGAAATGCCAGTGTCATAGCTTCCAGTATCACAACAACACACAAACCACCAGTTGACAAACTGACAAATGGTGGACTGGTATGGATACAGTTCTGCAGTTCCTGTGATCTGGGTGAGTAAGAAGAGGCTTTCTACTCCTGTAAAGAGTTTTAGTCTTGGAAACCCACAGGAGCAGTTCTACTCTGACCTATAGGGTCACAATGAGTTGGAATCTACTCAATGGCAGTGAGTTTGTTATTTTATTTGTGTTTGCATGAGTATATGCATAGATATTCAGACTGATGTGGGGGGTTGGGGGAAGGAAATTTTCTCTTTATGAAAGATTTCCAGCTAATACATGAAGAGGAAACCTGGAGGTTGCAGTGAGTTTAGACTTTGCTTGTCAGAGGCTGTTTGTTTTTCAAAAAGAGAGACCCTGGACAGAAGAACAGTCTTGTCACAGCACTAAACCTAAGGAGAAGTCTTGCTACTTCACCTTAAGTGAAGGCTGAGCAGAAGACAGTAACAAACCCAAAGCCACGCCCACTGCCATCAAGTGAATTCCGACTCATAAGTGACCCACAGGACAGAGTAGAAGTGCCTCGGTGGGTTTCCAAGACTGTAAGTCTTTACAGGAGAAGGTTTCCAACACTAGGGTTTCTGATTCTTCTTCATGGGAACAAATGACCTCACTTTTTTCCCCTCAGGGCAGCAATATACACGAGGACAAAAATAGCGAAATTAAGACTGGAATAGGACATACAAAGTAATGTCCTCAATAGGTAAACCAAGAGCAGGTTCAGCAGACATAGCAGCCACCTGCAAATGGTTAGATCTGACTTCAATCTAATTCAAACCATTTAAAAACATAAAGAAAAAAAAGTTATGAACGTGCTAGTAAAACTTAAACACTAAGAGTATTTGATGATAGTTGGAAGTTATTGATAGTTTTATTTTGATGTTTGGAGAATAGGAGTCCTTTTCTTTAGGATATGCAAATGAAAACACTTCTAGATACAGTGTGTGGTTTCTGGGATCTGATTCGAAGTTGCCATTCTCAGAGGAAGTGTGTAGGGCAAATGTGAAGACCAAGTAGCCCTGGCTGGCTATTGTTGAAACTGAAAACGGGTGCAAGGTTCATTATACCACTATCTCTACTCCTGCATATGTTCGGAACATCTTCCATAAAGAAACACTTCAAAAATAAAAGGTGAAGGATGATTAGGCAGAGCACAGGGCATTTGGGGGGCAGTGAAACTTTTATGTATGACACTTTAATGGTGGACACATCACATTATGCATTTGTCAAAATCCACAGAACTACACAAAAAAGAGTGAATGCTAATGTGAACTATGAATTTGAGTTAGTAATGACATATCAATATTGGCTTATCATTTGTAATAAATATATCACAGGATATGTGTAAGATATCATCAATAGGAAACATTTGTAAGATGTTAATAATAAGGGAAACTAGAAGTGGAGGGGCAAGAAAGGAGAGTACTATGGGAACTCTGTACTTTGTGAATAATTTTACTGTAGAACTGAAACTGCCCTAAAAATTAAGAAAATTAAGATGATAGGTATATATAGAGAGAGATGACTGGTGGGTAGGTGAAGCACAGATAATTAGATTGATAGATAGACAAACAGAGTGATCTGTGACACAGGAGAGGACAGAGGTGTGTCTGCACACAATGTGAGACTAGGCTACACTGAGGCAGGTGCAGACAGAAGAACAGCCATGGGATCAGGGCCCCCCACACATCTGGAGGTCAGGAAAAACTAGTAAGTACCTGGCAGCCTAATTTCCAGAGGTAGCACCTCTGTGAGATAGATAGATCATGAAGTGAAGGAAACAGCACTACACAGAAAGAGGGTGGTGCCTAACGCAAACCACAGTCCAGTCCAGGCTGAGCCATGTGGAGAGCAAGGCATAGTGGTCCTGGTTCCACTGCAAAGGTGTGCTTGCATCTGGCAAGGGGCAAGACCCCAAACACCTACCTCGTGCTGCTTCTCAGCGATATAAAGGGCATTCAGAGCAAAGACGGCCTCCCGGGCGCCCACGTACAGGGTGTCCTCGTGCTCACTAAGCAGGAAAGTTGAGTAGTTAAAGATGCCTGGCTCATGAAAATGCACCAGACCTACCTCTGTGAAAGAGAAGGGGAAACCAATTTAATGCTTTTAAGCTAAAAAGCCAATGATTCAATATATTGGTTGTATTTAACCATGTATCAGCACACTGCCAGAGTCTCTGGGTGGTGCAAATGGTTATATGCTTGTGAAGGATTGGTCTGTGTGCTACCCACAAGCATCTTGTTGGAGGGTCCGGTTGGTGCAGGATTTGAAGGACTTGGAAGCAGGAGGAGAATAATATGCATGGCAGTGGGGGAGCACAGCAGTTTTCAGTCTCGGGCACTTCATTCATGGCACCTGCATTGATTGCATCTGTTGATACATCTGCACCGGAGACTCTTGATGCTCCTGCAGTAGCATGTCATACAGTCCCAGCAAACCTGGAAGTACACTGAACACCACTTGCTGCCAGTTGACTCATGGTATTTTAAGAGTAGTTTTGCTAATTGTTTTTTGATGGCTGTTTTGTTTTGTTTTTTTAAGTAGTCACCCCACTTTTCTTCCAAGGTGCTTGTGGAAAATTACCTATAGATGAACCTACTCACCTAATGACATCTAGTTGTTTCCTACTATTAACCTTTTAGAGGTTGTGAATGTTTATGGGATCGTACAACCTCATCTGACTCCTGTGGAGTAGCTGGTAGCCTGGAAGCACTAACCTTGAGATTAGCAGTCCAATAGTTAGAACTATTTAGAATTTTGTTCAGGGGAAAAATTATTTACCTCAAATGCTTTTAAAAATCAAATGCAGAGATTCTATAACTCCATCCAAGCCTTTTCACTGATAATGACAACAAACTTTAAACTAGGTAAAACATGACAGTCTTTTTATTCATCAGGTAATATGTAGGAAGAACATCAATAATATTTAGGTACACTAGAAATTTAAGTATTGGGAATGAAAAATTTGTCAAAACTGTTTTTTCTTATAAACTTTTTGGCATCAATCTGAATAAATTTGAATGGACTTTCCATCGATCATCAAATGTACAAGAAATTCCTCTCTTGTCACATCTGCTACTCCTCACACTGCCATTTAGTTCCACAGAGGAGAGTTCTCTGTGCTACATTCAATACCTTGTGCTCAAGACCAGGTATTTTAAGGTCTCAACTCACTGAATGAGAAAGACAGGGGCTCCCAAGAAAGGAAATAAACAAAACAGAAACTAATGAGCAGCAAAGAATAATCAGTGGCATGAGCACAGTTCCACACACAATTTTAACTGGCCTCGAGACTCACCAATGGTCTGTCCATAGGTGCAGTGGCAAATGCTGAGTAGCGGCTTGCCCTCAGCAGTAGGTGCCAGGCGCTGTCAGTTGTAAAAGAGATCACCCTTTCTTTTAAAAACCAGTGACCAGTTGCCACCCATGGCAAGTCCATGTGCATGAGAGGCAGAACTGTGCTCCACTGAGTTTTAATGGCTACGTTTTCAGGAGTCAACCCCCAACCTTTCTTTGGAGGCACTCCTGGATGCACATAAGCTTCTGAATGTTCTGTTGGCAGCCAAGCTCAGTCACAGTTCCTACCACCCAGGGATGTCTCCTTTCAGGAATTCCCTCTAATTTAGACACCACATCAGGGTGTCTGAGCATGTCTTGGTAAAGGTTTCCAGCTACTAAAAGCTTCTCTTGGATGCATACATCTCACAAAGTCTGGGAATAACAAAACAAAAAATTGCTGTTGAGTCAATCCCACCTCATGTGCATCAAAACAGAACTGTGCTCTGTAGGTAGTGATCATTCAGAATGCAATGCAAGGCCTGTTTTCAAAGGCCATGCCGGTGGGATTGAACCACCAGAACCTTTTGGTTAGCAACTAAGTACCCAAGCATGTGTGCTACACAGGGAACTGTTCTAGAAGCATAGGATCAAATAGCATCATTAATAACAATATCTAGCCACATATTTGGTACTGTGGGTAGTGAGATGATGGTTCCATTCCCATCACACTCCCATGCTACAGAAGCCATTGGCATCCTTGCAGGTTTGCACTCACCTTTGTGTGCCCAGGTGATCCTGGGGGCAGGTGCAAATGCCACGGCTGTCCCAAATACCACAACCAAGGCCATGAACAGCCTCCTGGTGGTGACACTCATCCTCATAGGGCAGGTGTGGGCTGCAGGGATGGGAGGCTGTTCAGTGCCCTGATGATGTGACTAGCCACTCAGCACGGAGTTGGAGCAGAGCACGTCCCCCTAGGACCTTCATTCTCCAACCCTCCAGGCTAGAGGGAGACACTCTTGTTAGCGTAGGTCTCAACGGCCACGTGGTGTACAAATGGGATGCTCTGAATTGTCTTTGGGGAAAATGCTGAAAGAAAGTGAAGAAAAGGGGAGGCGATCAAGATGATGTGGTACAACATCTGCTCTCCACCTGGGCAGCTTTTCTCCTGGGCTTTGCTCTCACCACACCCTCTCCCCAGACGGTCTACTGAGGGGCATGGCAGGCAGGCTGGGGACCCAGGACAACACCCAGAAACCCCTCATGAAGGCAGATCTCAGAGGAGCCCCACACAGGCGCCAGTCCTCCGAAGCACAGAGGCACCTTCGGGCAGGCCCGGGCAGGAAGTACAGATGCACAGTGATGAGCTATGAGGATGCCCACTGAACGCCCCGGGCTTCCTCCCCGTGTGGCCGCTCCGGTGCAAAGGAGAATAAGACAAAACTGGAGGAACAGAGTCAGAGGTTCTGTTTCCCTTCAGAGACTTTTGCTTTCCAATTCCTTTAATACTTACCAAGTAAAATGGACAGACAGAAGCACCGGAGGACAGCAAGGGAGGCAAAATGATATGCATGCATACACATGCATATGCATGACACTTAACCCACGGTGACTAAGAAAGAACCCAAAACATGAGCCAGCATGGAAGGCGAACAGGTTCTGCCCCCTCTACTATGATGTAGCCTCTGCTGGAGGAACCCCAGTGGGGTAGGAGGTACACGGTCGGGCTGTCAAACCGCAGGATGATTACCTGGAAACCAGCAGCCACTCTGAGGGGGAAAGACGAGACTTTCACTCCTGTAAAGAGTTAATAGTTTCAGAAACCCACAGGGGCAGTTCCACCCTGTCCTATAGGGTCTCCATGAGCCAGAATTAACTTGATGGCGGTGAGCTTTGGGTTGTTGTTTTTGTTTGTTTGAGTTTTTTTGCAGGGGAGGGGGAATGGGAGAGAGAATAATCAAGGGTTCTGGGGACCTCCTGCTGGTCACCTACTCTTAAGCACTTACCTACTCTGATAGGGCAAGATTGTGTGATTGGGTCTTCTCACTGCGCGGTACCCACGCTGGCATGAACAGTGTAGTCGGCTGCTATCCTTAGATAGCAATCTGAAGCCCAGGAGCCTATACTAAGAACAAGTGAATCAGACATATACATTACCTAACAAAGCCGGTTCTGCACTGTAAACTGGAACTCACAGCTAAAAGCATCAGCCAGGAGGACCCTAGGGCTGGCCTGCTACAGGCTTGCCTGGATTCCCAGGCCAAGGTGGGAAGATGCCACTTCCTTTCTTGCTACCCTGAATAGAAATGTGCCTCCATTTCCTCCCTTAGTCCAGTCTTTCCAAGGATTCCATGTAACCTACATGTAACCCACAGCGGCCCAATACTTCCTGCCAAAGCAAGCCTCTAAAGAGATTTTTTGGCCTCTTGTTATTTAGTAAGCCCCTATTAACTGAAGCCCTCTGGAACTGCTTCCTATTCCTCAGTGTAGTCTTCTCCCATGACCCAATGCCCTGGATGGTCATTGCGTCCTCTAGAGACACCGCACAGCTCCTACCTGTCCCCAGGATGCCACTTTAGGAGAGTAAACCTTTTCTGACTGGTATTTCAGCCCCTAAAGACCTCCTGGGGCTTCAATCAGCCAACCTCCTCTGAACACCTTTGTCTCTTTGCAAACACCTTTGTCTTGGCAAAGCAGGTGGCACACATTGCTCTCAGAAATGCCCTGGGCCTAAAAAGCTCTTGTTTGTTTTTATTTATTTTTTGTGTCTTTGCTCAGACCATGAACACTGGTCTTTGCTCCTCAACCGAAGTCATTTGAATACATCAGAAGGCAATCACATGACGTGTTGGATAAAAGCACATGCCCACTGGGAAGGCAAGATGGGGGAGCAGCCTATGGGCATGGGCACTGACTGCTGCCTCTAAGATCTCTCACTTCCTTGGCTGTAACCCTGAAGGGTGGGCTTGCCAGAAAGCCTGGTTCACACAGCACACAAGAGCATTTACTCTCTTAGCCTTGACACATTAATAAATTCTCAGGAGATGTCCACGAACACACCAGATCTTTTTCACCACAGAACAGTATATCCTAGTTTGCGATTAGGACAACTTTCTTATGAAAGGCCAGAGCTTCAGCTTTGTGTGTCACAAGGACTCAGCTTGACTGGTGCAGAATAAAAAGCAGCTATGGAAAATTAGTGAATATGTGGATACAGCTGTGTTCTCACACAACTACCTATAAGCATGATCTACAACACAGGTGCTGGGCTGTAGGCAGCAGTTTGTCAACACTTGCATGAAGGAGTTCACAGTAACAGGCAAACATCACTGTGAAAACAGGAAACCTCTAAATGCTACTTAGATGTCCTAGGTTGCACAAGGGGTTACTGCCTTTAGTTGCTGACCCCAAAGTTGGAGTTTCTAGCCCATCCAGTGGCACCTCAGAAGAAAGGACTGGGGTCTTCTTAAAAAGTAGCCACTAATCTACCACTGGGAAGAACACTTAACATTACTTATATCAACCACCAATGGGAGAATATTCCCTGTATTATATTCCTAAAATTTTTCTTTAATAACAGTTTTTAAAATTGAGAATTAGGTGAGAGGTTTACATTTCAGATCATCAACTTTTTATTCACAGTTCAAACCACCAGTCAAAGGCCTCCATAAGCGCTGGGTAGAAACTTGGCCTAATAAGATACTTTTGACTGATCCTGATTGGTGATCCAGGCTGAATGCTATAGATAACCAGGACATCAAACGTTGTCCTTTTAAGGCACACAACATCCTTCATAGGCCCCTCCGGAAGGCCATGGAAACCCCATGAGCAAATGAGATTTTACCTGAAACACACTTGTAGCAAATTAAAGGAACTGAAATATTCTTTAGGACTTAGAACTAAAATACCCTACTGTGAGAAGAAGCAAATGACTACTATCCCAAAGGGAATCACTGGATTTTGGTTCAAATCTCTGGCTTTGAGGGTGCCCAATAAATGACAAGTAAGACTACCAGCTGTTTGCTATTTTTAGACTCTCTTGGCTTTTTAATGACATGTGTTAGTCCAGCATGCAGTAGTCCTGCCTTCATGAATGAGCATTAGTGAACGTTTGCCTGTCTTCAACCTCCATTGTTTGCAAAATGTCCATTGTGCTTTAAATCTCCACAAGTCACCACCAACCCCTATAGTTTAGTCTAAAAACGATCCTATACATGTATACTTTCTTTTTCTAAAGAGTATTTTAAATTCTATACCATTGACTAAAATAATGATACTATCAACAGAATTACCATGTGCCCCATGGGGATGACTTACAATATTCCTCAATAAAACGATAATGGTGTCTCTAAAGTAGACTAGGGATACAAACTGTACATATATGAATGGATTTTGAGTTTGCACTTTGTCATAATCGAAGAACAATTAGTTCTTAAGGCATGGCTCTAGCAATACTTGCCTTCGTGAAGAGATTCCTGAAAATATGGGTGCAAGTGTGAAGAAGATATCAGATAGTGCCCTGCTATCAGAAAGACTAATGTCTGGGGTTTTAAAGGCTTGTCTTATCATAAACAGCTATCTACATGAGGTGTCAGCTAAATTCACACAGAAGTATAACAAGTTGGGTGATCCAAGGATTGTAGATTAAAAAAACAAAAACTGAGAGTGAAAGAGGGAGCTGTTTTGGAGCTTAAATTCTGAGCACCCAGTACGCAGATGGCTATGAATGACAGTGAAAACTCAAACTCCATTGCAGCATCCCCACGTGAAATAATCCCTGACCATTGACCAGGTGAATAGCCCTGCTATTAGATAAAGTGCATTGGAAAGTGATTAATACAGATGTTGGCAGTTTAAAATTAGTTAGGTTAAAATTTAATGCCTTTTCATTTGTTCTCTTTTGACCTATTTTAATTTTTTCTAGTTTTTTATTATTTTTGCATTCTTTTGGATTGAGATTTTTCTGTGTTTTATTTTGTTATTGTTGTTGGGAGGATTGTATGCTTTTCTGTATATGAAATTCAGGCTAGGTAAATCTACAGAGACAGTACTGGATTAATATTTTAATAGGGTTATGGCAGGGGAGGCTGGGGGGAAATGAGAATTTAATAATAATGAGTACGAGAAAGAAGAAAATGTTCTAATATGGATTTTGGTGATGATTATATAATGCTTAAATATGTACAAATCATATTGTATTATATGTAAATTATATATAAATTAAACTTTAAAAATTCAGTTACTGAAATTCTGTGGAGCATAGTTCTATTTTAATAGCTATGAGGTTGTCAGGAGTCAGAATAGACAGCAATTGGGGGGAGTGAGTAGCACATAAATGCTACTGGACAGAGCTTAAACCCCAAAACCAACTCATTGTCATCAGTCAGTGCTGACCCATGGTGACCCCTGTAGGTTTCCGAGACTGTAACATTTATGGGAGTAGAACGCCCAGTCTTTCTCCTGCGGAGCTGCTAGTGGTTTTCAACTACCAACCATGTGATCACAGCCCGACATGTAACTGCTACACCACCAGGGGTCCGAAGCCAAGAAATGAAACTGGAGAAGGGAAACACGAGAATTTTTAAAAAGTCATTGTTAGATCTAATTCTCTACAAAGTGAACTCATAGATGATCTTGTGCTCATATAAGTCTGATACTGATGCCTGCCTTGATGCAGACGTCTTACTGGACCCTTTTTTTCCTGCCATCAATGAGGACTGCAGCACAAGGTGGTTCCAATCAGCATTTTCCAGTGAGAAGTCCAGGCCAGGTTAATCCTCATACACAATTCTGAGTTACCAATGGGATTCACTCATTAAGCAATTCCACAAAGAGCTGTTTAGCAGAAATCATATGTTGTCAGCTGGGCCATGCAATTACATGGAAGTGCTGTAGAGAGGATGTAAATGGCAAGTTGGAGAGTTCAAAAACCCATCACTTCACACAGTGGACTGGAACCTTCAACACAGAGGTCTGCACTTGCAACCTAAAGGTATCGTGGTGGGGGCCAAAACTCAAACTCCAAACTCACTGCCTTTGAGCTGATTCTGACTTACAGCAACCCGATAGGTGTAATTCCTTGGGACTAT